TCAGTTGGTTACGGCAGTCTGTGAACAGTACCAAGACGTCCGTGCCATTACTTGTGATGAATCCAACTTGTTGTTCAATGCCAGCAATTCCAAACAGTCACCATTCCGACGAAAGCGGTTTTTGAAAAGGGCTTGAAAATACCAAGCAACATCAGCTCTCCGGCCTGCAATGACGAATGGATTCAAAGATGAAACAAGTGCAATTCCTGTGGCCAAAGATATTCGCGGCTATCCTGTCGATTTCGAAATGCCAGGTGCCACAATTGCGGTAAGCTTGGTCATATCCGATCTGTCTGTAAAAGTGCGAAGTCGTGTCTTACCAAACATACGACTGTCCATTCCTCTAAAGATTTATTGTGTGATTTACAGTCCTTAACTCTCGCCAGTGCGATTTCACGTCCCTCTCGTCATATTACTCGCGACTTCATCATTAATGACTCCATTCATCATACATTCATTATGGACACCGGCAGTGTTGATTTTTTAATTTCCAACATGGTATTTCTTCAGTTAAACCCCCCAGTTGCACCTTCCCCAACAGAAATTTCAGTTAAGGGAATTGTCGATCATCTTTTGCCCGTCTTAGGATCATGCGAACTGCTTCTAAAAGACGATAACTCATTAACATTTCACTGCCCGTTTTTGGTTCTCCGGTGTTTATGAAACGTCGGATTATCCCACTTGGGCTTCGTGAGCCCGTAAACAAGGAGTTAGATGAAATGGTAAGCAAGGGAGTTCTGACACCCGTAAATTCTTCGTCTTGGGCCACGCCAATTGTTACTTCATTAAAACGTGACGGGAAGCCTCCTAAGATATGTGGGGATTATCGAGTCACTGTGAACAGACACCTGAAACAGTCTAGTTGTGCCACCGTCGAACCAGAAGACATTCTGCACCAACTTCATGGATCCAAATTTTTCTCTAGTCTAGACTTGAATGATGCATTTCTTCAAATTCCACTTGAAGGAAAGTCCCGTGAACTCACGACTATTACCAAACCTTTTGGTTTATTTCGCTACAACTTTCTACCGTTTGGACTCAGTGTTTCCCCTGCCATTTTTCAGACTACCATTAATTCCATCATTTCTGTCTTACAAGGTGTATGTGCCTATCGGGACGATATTATTGTGCATGCGCCTAGCAGACACTTACATGACGAACGTTTGAGTGCTTTGCTTGAAAGATTCCGTTCTCCTAATGTTTCTATTAACCATGATAAATGTACATTTGCTACGACTAAACTTTCTTGTTTAGGTTATTTGGTTGACGAATCCGTATTCCGTCCTGACCCCAATAGATTTTCTTCGTTGACTAATGCTCCATCTCCCAAGTCATTCCAAGAACTTCGTTCTTTAATTGGTTCTTTACAATACTATTCCAAGTTTAACCCTAACTTTTCAACCCAAGCTCCTCCATTGTTTGATTTACAGTCACAGCAAACATTTCGGTGGACTTCGGTCCATGAACTTGCCTTGAGGAATTTACTTTCCTTTTTATCTACCAGTGCTGTTTTACGTCCTTTCTGCTCACGATTACATTCTACCTTCACCACGAACGCCCGTTGGAATTGGAGCTGTGTTGGAGCAAAATTGGTGCCGTGCATCTCACGCAGACTCACGGCTGCCGAACGGGGGTATTCCCAAACTCAACGAGAGGGTCTAGCTGTCTATTGGGCTGCCACGCGTATGCACAAGTATCTTCATGGTACTCATTTCATTATTTTGAGTGAGCATAAAGCCCTCCAGTTCATTTACAACCCTCAACGTTCCCTAGCTAAGTCATCTGCAGCCATGGTACAACGATGGAGTATTGCGTTATCCGCCTATTCCTACGACATTCATCATCGCAGTGCGCAGTCCATTCCACATGCAAACTATCTATCACGCTATGCCATTTCAGAGGAGGCTTCTACGGGTGATTGTCTACTCAATCAACCTCTCCCGGTAAGCCGATCTGATCTAGTTCGCGAGACCAGGAAATATTACCACGCTATCATTTCCTGTGTCCGTCGAGGTTGGCGAGGTGATATCAAGCCTCGAGTTCCGGAATTCTATAAACGTCGTGAGGAAATTCCTGTTACGTGTGATGGTGTCTTGTACTACGGCGATCGCATAATCGTACCTCCGACATTGCGTACTGCTGTTCTCAATGACTTACATTCCGGTGATCTCGGCATTGAAAAGATGAAATCTCTTGCTCGTCTCACATGCTGGTGGCCTGAATTGAATCATGATCTGAATCGTATTGCTAAATCCTGTGCTGATTGTGTTCACAAAACTCACAGACAGCCTTCGAAATGGACACCGTGGCCGGTATTTTCCGAGTCATGGCAAAGAATACATGTGGATTACTGTGGTCCATTTTTTAACAAGTATTACGCATTGGTGATCGTCGATTCCTATTCCCTTTGGCTAGAAGTGTACTTTACCACAACTCCCAGTTCAGAATTTACTATTCAAACACTCAGGAAAACGTTCAGTAAAGAAGGTGTCCCGCATGCTATCGTGACTGACAATGGAAGTCATTTCACTGCCAAGAAAGCTACTGATTGGTTGAACTCCGTGAGTTGTCGGCACGTTCTCACTCCACCCCGACATCCGTAATCCAATGTCGCAGCCGAAAACTTTGTACGCACGCTGAAGAGTGCCAGTACTTCTTTGAATCCCAGTACATTCGACGAACTGGACAGAGGCGTTGATAACTTTCTGATGCAATACCGTAACGCAGTACATTCAACTACGGAACACAGTTCAGCAAAGCTGTTTGAGAGTCGAGTACTTCGAACAAATCTTCTAATCTTGGAGTCTGCGGAAGCCGTGTATCATCGTGGTAACGATTTACGACCCTCCAGGGGCATTGTACTGGACAATATGGGACGAAGATCATGTCGCATATTGGATCTAGATGATGGCACTGTAAATCGCAGACATGTAGACCAAGTAATTCGTAATTTGCCCGATCCTGAAACTAGTTGTGAACCTACTAATCCTTTATTTCTGAGTCTTTTCCGGAGGAATTACATCCTAGTACAAATGTCGAAAACAGTACAGGAGAACCCAGAAGATCTGAACGATTACTCAATAAAGCCCGCCGTGATTACAGAAGACCGGAGCTTTAGTCAAGCTGCGGCGGATGTGGTGATTGCTCATGAATTATGAACTCTTTTGTTTTATTGAACACTATATCCTTGTATATTTCTAGTTTACGCCTATTACAATTCCATTCCGCCTCTGAGTTGACTTCTGATTTTGTTTCGGGTCCTAGTTCTGGGTCGGACTATTAGTGCGCGGAATCTGATACGTATACGAAATACTAGTCCAAGTACGAACTATAACAACTGGCGTCGTGGTCATTTCGAGCCAATGGAGTCCTGTAGTTTAGAGAACTTGAATATACATACCAGTGCGCGCAAAGTCGAAGACTATCTTGAACGGTTCGAAATTTGGTGTAGTACGCGGAAGGGATTCGATGGAGAACGCAAAACGGCCCATTTCCTAACGGTCATCGGAAAGGATGCATACTCATTGTTGAAGAATTTGGCATTTCCTGACTCTCCCATATCGTTATCATATGAATCCCTGAAAACCTTGCTGCTGGAGCATCTACAACCGGTTAATTTCAAAGCTGCTGAACGAGCCAAATTTAATTTACTCACCAGTGGTGGAAGCCAACCTGTACGTGACTTTATTCTTCAGCTTCAGACTCAAGCATCTCGTTGCAACTTCGGAGATCAATTGCAAACCCAGTTACGCGATCGAATAATTGTCGGTATTAATTACCCGGAATTACAGCAAAAGCTCCTGCTCATGCACGATTACACATGTGTTTGTGCTCATGTCTACGCGTTCCTTTGTGGGGAGCCTCAGTGAAGGAGGACTGTGGTGGTTGCTCATGAACTATGAACTCTTTTGTTTTATTGAACACTATATCCTTGTATATTTCTAGTTTACGCCTATTACAATTCCATTCCGCCTCTGAGTTGACTTCTGATTTTGTTTCGGGTCCTAGTTCTGGGTCGGACTATTAGTGCGCGGAATCTGATACGTATACGACATACTAGTCCGAGTTCGAACTTTCACCACGACCCAGGATCTAGACCGTGCGAAGTTCTCTTAATCTTGAATACTTCGATGAGTTCCACGCGCAATGTCCCTTTTTTCTAGCGCGAACAACCTGTCTTTGTATGTTTTACCCTGCATACCCTCATCCATCAGTGTTGCTAGTCTCTGAACCCGCTCCAGACAGGCTGCGTCCTTTTTGTAAAAGGGCGACCATGCCTGAACACAGTATTCTAGGTGATGCTTTACGATGGCTTTGTAGGTGGGTATAACTACTTCTGCTTTCCTAAACGAAACTGCTGACCTTAGTCGAAACAGTTGTCGTCTTGCCGTGTTTGCTACAGCTTCACATTGGGTACCCCAACGGTAATCTGCAGTTACTATGACTCCTAGAACCCTGGCACTAGTTACAGCGCCTACTTTGAACTGCCCCAGTCACCCAGAGCCTTCAATGGTTCCTGGGTTCTTGAGAGCAACTGGTTCTTTGCTGCATTTAGTGGCAGATCCCATGTATGGGACCACTGGACCACCTTTGCAATATTCTCTTCCAATTGTGATCTTCCAATAGATCTAACCACCTTTACATCATCAGCGAAGATGAAGCAAGGTGAGCTGGTAATTTCTGCTAGATCATTTATGAGCAGCAGAAAAAGAAGCGGGCCTAACACCGACCCTTGTGGCGCGCCACTAGTGACGTGATTGACTGGTGACATATGCTCTCCTACCCTGACGCAAAATGTCCTATTGGTCAAGAATGCTGCTATCCAATTATATACTGCCCCTGGGTTTCTGAAAAAACGTAGCTTGTGTAGAAGCAATCTATGACCTACGGAATCGAAAGCCTTACTGAAGTCTAGGTAACATACTTCTACTGTTCTACCTTCGTCGACTCTCTCTGTGACTTCGTCAAGATAGCATAAGAGGTTAGTCAGGCAGGATTTGTTTTTCATGAAGCCATGCTGGGACAGGCTAAGTAATGTATATTCTAAAAGGTGGATACAAACTTGAGTCCTAATTAGCTTTTCCATGCACTTGCATAGAACACTAGTTAGCGCAACTGGTCTGCAGTGCTGTGGGTTAGATCTACTACCACCTTTGTGTAATGCCACCACTACCGCAGTTTTCCAGTCATTCGGAAGCACACCCTTCTCCAGTGATTTTTGAAACAACACCCTTAAGGGGTCTACTAAGATTTGGGCAATTGGTTTCACAATGTCAGGATATATGCCATCGGAACCCGGGGCCTCATTTATGTCCAGCTCCCCTAACACTTTTTGCACATCAAATGCGGAGATGGATTCTGTCCAGTCCTGAACCTGGTGTTTTCCCTCACGTGTTGCAGGAGAGGTCTGGAGTGTATCCATTCCAGGAGCTTTCTTTCTGGTGCACCCTCCGAGCAAATCTCTGTTGTCCACTGGATTCCAGGAAGGTTGAAGTCCCCAGCAATCACCAGTTTCCGCTGGGACTGTGCTAGTACATCCGGCTCCCTGATTAGTTACTCATCTTCTTCTATGTTGGCTTCCGGACTTCTGTACACACCGGCTATGATGGCGCTGTTGGTCCTTGAAAAGAGTGAGATAGCACCCATTTGTATATTGGGAGTGCAGACTTCTGTGTCCAATCTCCTGTGGGGAGTTTCTTCGCGAATGAGAAGCGCTACACCTCCACCTAGTAACTGTCCCCCACAATCCTCTTCCTCGGGTAATGACTTCCAAGCGGATGTGGCCCGGATGGAGCAGTGTAACCGTCTGCTG